CTCTCAGCCTTGTCTGAATTTGAGTACTATTTTGTTAAACCATAACAACCTTGTTATGGAACTATTTTTTAAAAATATGCAAGTTGTTTTTCTGAACAGGCTGATTTGTTTCAAACCTGAATAGTTTGTGTTTCTTGTTCTAATGCCAGGTACCACATGGGTTTGTTACATGCTGGATCTTCTGTATTTTGGCAACATGGGTCCAGAACATCGGACTTCCATTCCTCTGCATGAAAGAGTGCCCTTCTTGGAGATTTGTGCTCCGCCTCGACCCAAAGGTTTGATTACATAGGCACTCAAATCTGTTTAAATTACAAGTACATCTAAATAAATTAGAATGGGGTCGAGATGGAACAGCTGACTTGGGACCAGAAAGTCGTGGTTCGACTCTCAGCCATTCCCACACGTCATGGTCTCTGAACAAGACACTTAATCCCTAATTGCTCCCTGGGCGCTTATACATAGCTGGCCACTGCTCCACCTGGGTGTATCCCAGCTTGCAATGGGTTAAATGCAGAGAACCAATTCCATCATTGTATGTTCCCATACAATGACAACAACATATAGCACTCACTTGCTTACTGAAAACCAAAACTCTGTTTCTTCAAATACTGAAAGATTGTTAAAAAAAAGTTCAGCACAATACAGTCAGCTGCAAAGGTGTCCTGAGCCTAGAAATGATATTTCTGTCTGGTTCAGTTGGCTGCACAATCATAGGGAAAACTGCTGACTTGACAGTTGTCCAAAAGACAGTCACTGACAAACTCCATGGGACAGGTGAGTCCCAACAAATTGCTCAAAAAGCTGGTTGTGTTCAAGCATGTTAATGAAAAGAGGAGTGGAAAGAAAAGGTGTGGTAGGAAAAGCTATACAAGTAACAGGGGCAACAGTGGCCTTGAGAATACTTTGAAGGAAAGACCATTGAAGAATTTGCATGAGATAATTGAGGCTGAAGTCAGTGCTTTAAGAGCCACCAGACACTGATGGATCCAACACATTGGTTACAACTGTTTCATTCCCAGTGCCAAGCTACTCCTGAACCAGAAACATCTGAAGAGTATTACCTGGGCTGAGGACAAACAGGACTGGATCGTTGATCACTGGTCCCAAGTCTACTTCTCAGATAAAAGTACAGTTTGCATTTCATTTGGAAATTAAGTACGAGGAAATAAGACCAGAATTGAAATCACTTCAAGGTTCAGTGTGAAGTTTCATCTGCTGATGTTGGTCCACTGGGTTTTCAAGTTCAAAGTCAGCACAGCTGTCTATCGGGAAATTTTAGAGTACTTTATGGAGTTTTATAGAGATTCTGATTTTGTTTTTCCTGCATGGCTTTCCACCCAGACCTGGAGTAATTGAGAGTACCAAGTGAATACCGGGGGGTGGGAAGATGGATTTTTTTGGTTGCAGGGGCTGTTGTTAAACCATCTAGCCATTCATTATCTTTTCCTGCTTTTTCCTTTTTGGATAGCGTATGTCACTGGTGCCCATGTCCAGCTATTGAAATGCAAGAGGTGGGAGACACCATGGACAGGTCTCCAGTCCATCACAGGGACACATAGACAAACAAGACAACCCACCATTCACTCTCTCACGCACACCTAGAGACATTTTAGAGTTAACAATCAGTCCAACATGCATGTTTTTGGTCTGTGGGAGGAAACTGGAGTACCTGGAGAAAACTCACGCACGCACGGTAAGAGCATGCAAACTCCACCCAGAAAGGTCCAGGACTGGGATTTGAACTGGTGACCTTCTCGCTGAGAGGCAACAGCTCTACCGACTAAGGCACTGTGCTGCCACCATGTGTTGAACTAATAACATCTTGTTGACTGTCCAGTGACAGCCAGCTTTTGAGCTCTGCTTTCAAGAGATATCTGGGAATAGGTGATGCTGGAAAGGCAAGAATAAGAATGAAAGAAGCACTGGAAAATGACCAAAATCACCAGTGACTTTTTAAAATAAAATAAAAAATTCATTAAAGCCCTTCATTTGAGAGCACCGGTGCTGATGACAGTAAAACAGTAAACAATTTTTTTAATGAGTGTGAGATGACAGAAGATGAAATGACCCAAATACAGCACTGCCTGTAATCCATTGTTAAATTTTATGAATCAAGTCAATGAATCAGCAGCACGGTGGTACAAATGGTAGAGCGGCTGCCTCTCACAGAGCAGGTTCCAGGTTCAAATCCCGGTCCGGGAGCCTTTCTGGGTGGAGTTTGCATGTTCTCTCCATGCATGCATGGGTTTTCTCCTGGTACTCCAGTTTCCTCCCACAGACCAAAAACATGCAAGTTAGGCTGATTGGTAACTCTAAACTTGTCTCTAGGTGTGATTGAGAGAGTGAATGGTTGTTTGTCTTGTTTGTTTCTATGTGGTCCTGTGATGGACTTGTGACCTGTCCAGGGTGTCCCCCGCCCCTCGCACAGTGATTGCTGGACATGGGCACCGGCGACCCCCGTGACCCAAAATGGAAGAAGTGGGTAAAAGATAATGGATGGATGAAGTCAGCGAATCAATGTTGTCTGCATGTTGTGAATTAAACTATAAAACGAGTTTCCCTTTTGGCAACAAAAGACAAAGAAGGCCAAAAGGGATACATATGGATGTAGTTAGAGAGGACATGGAGGTAGTTGCACAGAAGACGCAGAGAACAAAGTGAGGAGGAGGAAGCTGACTCGCTGTGGCGACCCCTGAAGAGGGAACAGCTGAAAGAAAATTACTTCAGGAATTTTAATCATAAAGAACTATCACTTGGTGCTTGTATCTTGGTAACTTCCCTTTGTTTGACAATTAAAGTTGGTCTGTTCATTTATCTCCAGCTTTTAGACCCATTAAAGTTCTCAGAGGAATCTGTATAATATTCTCACTAAACATGTCGTGACTTTGCATGTCCTCAAAACTAAACTTGTCCTTTTTTAAACAAAGGTAAAGACCTGGCAGATCAGCTCACCACTTCTCCTCGTCTCATCAAAACCCATCTACCGGTCCAGTTTGTGCCAAAGTCTTTCTGGGAGCAAAACTGCAGAGTAAAAACACACACATGTGCACACGATAAAAATAAAAATAAAAACCTAATCTATTTATTTATTATGTTTCCTAAGGTTGTCTATGTAGCTCGTAATCCAAAAGACAATGTTGTTTCTTACTACCACTTTGGCCACATGAATGGTCAGCATCCAGAACCTGGAGACTGGAACACCTTCCTGCAGAAATTTATGGAGGAAAAGAGTGAGTAGTTTCAGAATAAAGGAACCACATTATTATTGTCTGCTGCCTGAGGCAAAAGGCCATAATGTTTCTGCCAGTGTGTGCATTATTGTGTTAAAACAAAGCTCACAGAATGGATTTTAAAGAAAGTCTCAGAAAATACTCAGTAGATGTACATCTACAACTAATGTACTATCTACAACTAATGTACTATCTACAACTAATGTACCATCTACAATTAACGTACATACCATGTACAACTAAAGAACACACCATCTACAATTAATGTACATACCATCTACAACTAAGGTACCATCTACAATCAATGTACATAC